CCAAACACACACAACTCCTTATGGCAGCACACATCCCTCATTTGCCATCACACCACACAACCCACACACACAATAACCCCAAACGCACATAGCATCTCACGGCATCACACAACCCTCATCATCAACTGCACAAATCAATACAAATCTCCCAGCACAAACCTTCCCTCACTTCAACACAAATCAACGCAACCAGCACACACACTAATAACTCCAAACATCACACTGAAGACTAGAATATTTAAGTCAATGTGAAGTGGTGGAGAGAGCTACAAGCATGGTTTGGAGCTCTTTTTGTTTAGAATATCACCAGGTTCAAACATCACTAAGACTCACGGTTTGTTAGCAACAAATTATTAAGTTCTTAGTCATTTGTGGCTTCTCCCATCCCCCATGACTTTATGAATTAAATTGGTGTGACAGCACTGCTTTCAGCTACTTCTTCAATAAATATTTCTGTTCTGTATTTGAAAGGATGAGGTATTCACATCTTACAATGATGATGAAATACTTTTCTGTAGTAACTAGAGTGAGTGGGTACTAATCAACAACTGTTATCCAGTCCAATAGATTTTACAATGTTTAACTTGCACCCAGGATTATTAAAAGAACTGGCTGAGGTGCTCTCTGAACCATTAATGTTGGTCCTTGGGACACTGGGGAAGTTCCAGAGGACTGGGGCAAAAAAGCAAATGCTGTGCTAATATTTAAAAAGGGAATTCAAATGGGATGGACCCAGGTAACTATAGGCTGGTTAGCCTGATATCTCCTTCGGTGGGACTTGTGGGGACAAACAACCTAAGTAGCTTCAAGATGTAACTTGATACATTTATGAACAGGATTATATGACATGGCTGCCTGTGACTGCAGGGGATTGGAGTTTGACCTATGCCCTTCCAGTCCTATGTAAATGAACCACTAGTTAGATAAATGATCTAAAGCTGTGTTTACAGAGATGCATCCAAAGAAGTGGGCATTAACCCATGAAAGCTTATGCTCCAATACATCTGTTAGTCTTAAAGGTGCCACAGGACTCTCTGTTGCTTTTTATAGAGATCAGCTTTCCTCTAGAAATACTGACTTAACTCCTAGTAACTCAAGAAAAATACAATTTTAATATTCTGATTGAAAGTGACCTAATCTAAACAGCACTCATGAGTTTTTAAGTGGAAGAACTTTCTGCAGTGATCAGTTTCATACATGCCTACAACGTGTATTTGATTAATGCCTTCAGTTAGTATTCAGCTTTATGATGAAGGGTCAGATTTTTAATTATTCAAATATATTGGTAATGCTGAGAGGTAATTTAAACTAAAACTCCTCTTTTTACATTGCAAAGCTTCGGAACTTGAAGAGCTGTAAGTGTTGTATGCTGATAACAAAAGGAAGTGAATTGATTTTTGGTTAGTACTGAAGGAATGAGTTGACATTTTCCAAAGCAAATGGTCATACTGTCTCTTAGGTTTGCGTGAAGTGGAAATATTTAACTACTTTAATTCTAGCTCTCTGGAGTTAATTATTTTAGGTACACATTCCTGAGGTCTATTTGCTGAACTTTACTGAGTGTCCCTAAAGCTGTGAATTGTTAAACTGCTTCACCAACAGGTGGTTCAGATCAACCCTAACTATTTCAACCTTCAATTCACTTTTTACCAAATTACCGAGTGTTAGTAACCTTAAAGACACGTACTCCACAACTCAAGCTGGAAAAGTGAGCATGGACACATTAGAAGTGCAGTTCTACTTGTGGAGAACACAAAGGTTAGGTAAGAAATGGTCTCTTCTTAAAAAGGAAATAAAAAATTGTAGATCCCTAATCCCAGAGTCTAAAAAGTGTTATGGTTCCCCTATAGGTACACATTCAGTGGTATGAAACCTAAATAGCAAAACCTGCTTAACAAGTACAAAAAACAATAGCATCTCCCTAAAATAGGTGCAATATAGTGATACAGAATCACTAACACAAACATTTATTTTAAAATGAAAAGAAAAGACCCTTCAGACAGCACAGAGCATGAGTTTGGAAAAGGAAAACAGAGAGAAATTTTAGACCAGTTCCTTGCCTCCAGTCTAGCTGCTGTAGTGCCCCAAAGCTTCTGGAAACCAGTGAATTTGCACAGGGGAATGAACTGAAGAGCTGAGGCTCTGTGCCACCCCATCTGTGCATTCCCCAGCATGTGGAAAAGGGATGTGGCTGCTCAGTGTGTGTTACACATAGTCCTCTGTGTCCAATCTGCAGAGGATGTGTGTCTGCCACAGCTCATCTTCAGAGCCTGCTTTGTAACTTAAACTAAAGACACTCCTTTTCACCTCTGGAGGTCTGTAGTCTCAGCCATGATGTTGGCTAACACACAAGTGTAGCATGTGCCTTCACCACTTGACATGAATGATTTGTAGGGTGACAGCAGCTGCAAGCAAAGGGTGGAGCTTGTTATATCTGTGCAAAATACGTGTAGAATGCTACCATTTTGATTTAGGAGCACTTTATTAAGTGCTTTGCATGGGTATAAATGACTGTATAAAATGCAAGGCAATGAAGATTCAAGACCATTACCTTTGTGGAACCTCATTTTCCCCTCACCTATCATTAGCCTGAAGGAAGGCTGCTGTATCCAACAAAATGGTGATTTCTTTTGTGCTTAATATGCATTAGGAGTTCTGGAGTATTTGTGTTTGGACAGCTTTTCATGATATAACTCTATTTTTAATATAACAGTATTACGTTAATCGGTTGTGTATTAATCTATGCACACTACAGCATGTCTTGTAAATGGGGTTGAAATGGAAAAGGCACCTAATACCCACACATTAAGGGAGACTGCTCGATCTCACCAAACTGTGCATGCATCCTTTTTTAATGTGGGCCTTGCTTTTGTGAACTGACCAAATATTTTCTTAGTATATTTTTCCAATAACAAAATGCACTGGCAATTCAGGTCCCTGTGGATTTTCCTGCATCAGGGCACTACAGGTATAGTAAAATCCATGTTTCTGTGGATTCGGTCATAGCTGGCATCATATAGCATAAGTTACATAAAGTATGGCTAGATGCACAGTCTGATCCACAAATCTCTCCAATAGCTTTATGCACCAATGCACGTGCACTTTTGACAACAGAAACTAGATATGCTACGTCAAATCCTGTAGTGAGCCAGACAAATGCCTGGCATAACTGTGGGGCACAGTGGTGTCTTGCTGCTATCTTTCTGTCCCCCTTAGCTCCCAATCTTGGGGGCTACTGGAGGCTGAACTGGGCTGCTCTAACTTGTGCTGGTGGATAGAGGCTCCCAAGGAACCATTCTGCTGTCCAGGACCGCTCCCTATCATATGGAAATCCTCATTTGCTGCCTTAAGGAAATTTTGCATCTCCATTGCAGCAGTGCAAAGGGGATTTACCAAAGGGTGAGGATCTGCCCACCTGTCACAGACCTGTGATCGCCATAGAAATCTAGACCTAAATTCTATGGCGGAGTCCCCTGGTTTCTGAATGACTCCACCATGACAGATTGGAAACTCTGCAGCAGCTTCAGGTAAAAATTTTTTTTAAAAGGGAGGCTGTTTAATTGCACGTTAAAACAAATATTATGATCAGATCAAAATCTGTTATTTTATGTTGATACTAGATTCAATTTATTTTATATTAAACATATTTTACTCTGCCCTTACAATTTTCAATATGATCCAGTTTTTTGTATAAGCAACATGCAGCCTTAAGGGAGCCAATATGGTCCAGTGTGCAGGGTACAGCAATGAGACCTGGGTTCTATCCCTGACTGTGCCATGGGGCTGCTGGGTGACCTTGGGCAAGTCACTTAACCTCTCTCTGCCTCTACCAGGCAGATGGAGCTTGTCAGCTGTACTAGACAGTGCACCCAGGAGAAGGAAAACTCTGATTCCAAACCAAGAACATCAGGCCTGACCAGCCAGTTTGTAAAAGGTGTGCCGATGCTCTATGGGTCTGCACTGCCAACTCTGGTTACTGGGACAAGGCAAAGAACCACGCAACCTTAGGGCTTGTCTACATTACCCGTTTGATCGACAGGCAGTGATTGATCCAGCGGGGGTTGATTTATCGCATCTAGACTAGACGCGATAAATCAACCGATGAGCGCTCTCCCATCAACTCCGGTTCTCCACCGGAGCGTGAAGTGGAAGCAGAGTCGATTGGGGAGCGTCAGCCGTCGACTTACCACACTGAAGACACTGTGGTAAGTAGATCTAAGTACGTTAACTTCAGCTACGTTATTCAGGTGAAAGCTGGAGATTTGGGCAGCTAGGCAGAAGATTTTGGGAAATTCTGGCATGACATGAGGCATGGGCAATGGTTGAGGAATGTAGGATAGCCACATTAGGTGGATATTTCTGCTTAAATGATCAGCAATGAATAGCTACCAATACTGAAATTTAAGCAGTTATTATTAGGATTCAGTGTCAACAGCGGTTTGGGATGAATGCAGTAGTTCACATCTTTTATAACTACTTGGCTGACTGCATAATTGATAATAAAGTTGGTAAAAATATTTTCTACAAAACGTTTTTCCATTGAAAAATGCCATTTCGTCGAAACTGAACTGTTTAGTGGAAAGGTAGTATTTGAGAAAAATTTAGTTGGGGGGAAGAGGGGGTTGTAAGGGTTAGTTAGTGCTTATGAAGTGCTTTGAACATACGGAGTGTTCTGAAAAATCAGGCCCTAGGTGTCCCAAGTTGGGCACAATCACTGAGGCACCCCAAGTTAGTGGAAAGTTCTTCAAATATTGACATTAAATGTGTAAGTGATCAAGTAATTAAAGAGTATTAAAATCCATATGCACAACTGGCCTAAATTAAGGTTGCACAGGCAAACTCAAAAACTGTTATTTCCTCATTTTTGTGTGCTCTAAATAATGTTTAACAATAAGTGACCCATGGTAAAACATGACCAAAATTTAACTCTCCAGTTAAAAAAAGTTCTCAGTTCCTCTCTGCATTTACCACTAACCTGTTTTCATCAATATGCTACTTACTGTTCTGGAGAGTTGATGTCTTCTATAGGGTCTTTGCTTGTTCTGGAGGGCTCTGTTGTGCTCCACTGTGCTTGTGGATTTTGATCAAGGTGATTTTTCAAAACAGCTTTCTCACCATCTGGATGGGGGGAAATGTTTAAATTGTATTTACTATGATAAAATGAAAATGTATTTTTTAAACAATTTCCTTTTAAAACATTCAATAGGTTCTTAGAGGCATGAAGTGACCCTTCCAGGCTCTCCAGTCCAACAACATCTCTAATTTCACGGCAACTCTCAGCCTTTTTCTTCTTTCCCTCACCTCAATTGGTTGGTGCCCAACTCCAACTTCACTCTCTCTTCCACACTTAATTCCTTCAGTCCTTTCTCCCTTTGTTATGTCTGACTCACTAATTCCAACGCTGGCTTAATCCTCACATCTTTCTCTTTCATCTCCTGCTTTCAATGACTCTGTGCACCTTTGGAGAAAATTAAGGACTATACTGACTTCCCTCATTCTCTCTTCTTTCAGATCTGCCTCAGTCCTTGACCAATACCAAGCTTACTTACTAATGTGCCATTAACCCATAGAAACTCCATCTCCATTTTCCATGCCCTCCTCCAACACTTGCCAAATTCTGCACACACAAAAAAAATGTTGACACAATCTGGCAATACCTTTCATTTTCTCACTCTTTCCCCTCCTTTCTATACTTTTCCCAAACCACTCAATTAATCACATTTTTTATTTTTCCCCTTCTATTGTTTTTGTGCATCTTCCTATGTAGCCCTTGATAGATGACACCTGGAAGAGACTGAGAGGGAACACGTTCCTCTCAGTTTTGTTTACTGTCTTATTGTCCATCTACATGCAGTTGCAGGACGAATGTATTCTCACCCAGAATGTTCTCTCTACATTTATAGAGCGTCTGCATTACTAACGTGTTCCAAATCTTTGTGAGACAGTGGCCATCTTTGCTAAGGGCAGTATACAGGCTAAATCCCACAGAGAATAAGGGGAGATGACAATCATTTTGAGAGAGTTATAATAATATATGGAGATATACCTATCTCATAGAACTGGAAGGGACTCTGAAAGGTCATTGAGTCCAGTCCCCTGCCTTCACTAGCAGGACAAAGTACTGATTTTGCCTCAGATCCCTAAGTGGCTCCCTCAAGGATTGAACTCACAACCCTAGGTTTAGCAGGCCAATACTCAAACCACTGAGCTATCCCCTCCCCCTTGTTGTCTTAACTGTGGATTGTTTGTGACTTCAGTCCCACTGAGAACAATGTCATTTTGAAAGAGGACAGTTCTTGATAAATTTCTTTGAAGGAGAAGATTTTATGTGCCAGCCACTGTTGAGGGAGAAATTTGGAGTCATGAAGAACAATGGCAAAAAATTACCCTTAATCCTAAAAATTTCTTAAAAAAACAAAAACAAAAACAAAACTACTTGTGCCAGATCTACTCAACAAAGAGGGCAAAAGGAGAAATTGGGAGTGATAGTTCAGCAGTTTGGGCATTAGCCTGCTAAGCCCAGGGGTGTAAGCTCAATCCTTGAGGGGGCCATTTAGGGATTTGGGGCAAAAATCTGTTGGGGGATTGGTTCTGCTTTAAGCAGGGGGTTGGACTAGATGACCTCCTAAGGTCCCTTCCAACCCTGTGATTCTATGATCAAAAACTAGGACTGAAAGGTTGTAATAGAATATGTATAAATCTATTAAAGGTATTTGTTTCTGATACACTAGAAGCACAGTCAGTGTTCTCTAGAACAGAATAGTTGATGCACTTTGCAATGGTGCTAGTTAAGGCAAAATGGCTGTATGCTGAATACCACAAAGTCAGATTATAATGACATGTGATGGACTATGATGATGAGTCTAAAAATGTTATGTCTCTTCCTGAGAAATGAGGGGAGGTTGGATTAGACTTCATGTATAATGTGATATTTTAAAATGTACATGACAGAATGTCAGTCTGTTTCTCAACAGATCTCTTAAAATTAACAGACAATGCCCATTCTTGCATTTTAGCTAACTGGCATGCTTATGAAGAGAAACCTATGTGGCTAGATAGTCAAATGGGCCAATTCTGCTTAGTTGTACCAATGTAAATCCAGTGTAATCCCAGAGTCAGTGAAGACACTCTTGGGATTAAACAGGTGTAATGGAGCAGAATATGGCCCAGTGTATCTGTTCTCTCTACATTTATAGAGCGTCTGCATTACTAATGTGTTCCGAATCCTTTGTGACCATTCCCTCTTGGAAAGGGATATTTTAGTAGAATTGTCTTTTTAATGAGGGAACTGAACAAGGAGAGGGTCAATGTCACAGTTACATGTCTAACTGCTTCTGTCCCCTTTCTGGTCTCTGAGTCACCCCATCAGGTGCCAGGCCACAAGCTTTTACCGCTTCTGGGGCGGAATTCCAAAATTCTCCCATATCAGATGGGCCTGGTGTTATAGTACCCTGTGGTTCTTCCCTTTGGGAGTCTGTGATCAAAGGTGTATACATTGTTCAGACAGCCTTCTTAAAAACAAAGTATTCTTTATTTTAAACAATAGAAACAAAGAATTTTAGAGAAAAAGCATTAAAAACAAACAGTCTACCTGCATGTCTGTCTTATTAGGCAGGCCCAAATCCTTCAGATGCCCCCAGTGTGGTGTGTCTTAATCTGGTTTCCCTGAACAGCTGAATAGGAGGCAAAATCTTCAAAGCTAATAGTCCCTTTTTACAATCCTCAAGTGTTTGCAAGGAGGTGGTTTATCTTGAGCCATTCTTTCCCTTCCTGCCTGTTTTTTCAGACACACAATCTCCTCTTGTGTTAAGCCAATACAGTCACGCAGAGAACATCTCAACCAAGTCAAGAGACAATAGTCATAAATCATTACAGAGCAGCTCCAAAGCCATCAAGGTAGTTGTTTGCTACATATGGAAAGTGTGACTGTTGCAAGCATAAAGGCAACGTGGAAAAAGGCATGAAGGTGAAAATAGGAGAAGATCACAAAGGGTGCAGTTAGGGAGGAGGCTAGGATGGCGTGAAGGGAATGAGATGATGAGTAGCAATACACCAGAGAAAAGACAACACTAGAGAAAAGCAGCAACAGAGCTGCAGAAAGCTTTACAAAGGTTGACCCATGGTTTTTATGTATTATTTCTACTGCAGTAGCACCTAGCACATGGAAACCTCAGAGGCCCTTTTGTGTCAGGTTCAGTAATACCTGTAAAAATATCCCCAAAGAACTTACAATCAAGATTAATAATGAGACAAAACAGATGGTGAAACAAGGCAGTGGGTTGGGTGTCAGGGAAGGAAGATGGGGTAACAGTATTATGAGTGTTTTTGTGCAAACTAGCTATTCTCCACATGTGTTATTCTGTAGTCATCACAGCACAAGCGAGTCTTAAGGAGTGATTTGAAGGAAAAAAGGATTAACATAGGAGAGGATGCCGAAGTGAGTAGTGTGTGGGAGTGTTATGGTCCAAAGGGGTAGGAGCAAAAATTTTCGGTATATTGGATGGAGGAGTAGTGAACTTGGCGAGAAGGAAGGAGGAGGCTAGAGCAGAAGAGTTACTTTAGCTGAGGCAAGAAATGACCATACAACAGGGACAAGGATTTTAATTGTAGGAATGGAGAGGGAAGGACAAAATTTAGAGATGTTATAAAAAACGAAATGATGGGATTTGATAGCCTGGATGTGAGGGGAGAAGAACAGAAAGGAGTCGAATCTGACACTAGTTAACATAAGAAGTTTAACATTTTGGACAGCGGTGAGGGTGGGGTTGTGGGCGAAGAGAGCTGAAGTGTGTTGTGTTTGCTGTGGCAGCTACTGTCATGTGGGTTCAGCTTTTATTTTCTATACCTCACATTTTTATGTATATTATTCTTGGCATTTTCATAAAAGCCTTGTGGTGTCTATAAGCAGAGGCATTAGACAGGAACGCTTTTTTCTTTCAGAAATTAAAACAATGTTTGATGTAGAGCTGATTAAGGTGACAATGTAACACACTGACTTTATGATATAGACCAATTAAATTAACAAACAAAGTTACATCTGGCAAATCTTAGAAATTAGGGATTGAACAGACCTGTGGTTTATCTAGTCCACTCCTTTTTTAGAGCATCATTGTTACCCATACTACGTTTTCTAGCCAATTGTCCAGTCTGGTTTTAAATGTCTCAGATGAGGTCCCACCATTTCCTGTGGGAAACTCTTCCACAACTGAACAGAGCTCAGTGCCAGGAATATTTTTACTAGTGCTCATGGCTGGCTGGTGCTCAAAATAAGTGTTGGAGCTGGGGAGAGCAATTACATATCCGCTCTTCCCCTCAACCTGCCTCCCCCCAACAATAATTGTTATCTCCCAAATTAGAAAAAAGAACAACTGAAATATTTGAGGGCTCTTCCCCTTCCACCAATACATAAATCCTGTCCCCTCTCTCAATAGCTCCTCTGCTGTAACTCCTGCTGCTGTTTCCCTACTCCTCCTGAATATGAGCAAGCACCTGCTCCATTCACCAGGTTATAGGCTCCCCCTTTCACCCTTCTAACTGATTTACAGACCCCCATGCTCCCCCTTTCCTCCTCAGTTGCAGGCTGCTCCTAGAAGCCATTGATTTGCCAAGCTCCTCTCTCCTTCTGCCCCAGTTTTCCCCACCTGGGGCTGTTCCTGATGTGGGGTGGAGCTCTGCACTCTGACTCTGGGACTACCTTGATTCTGCCTCAAAAAACAGCCTATGAATTTATGGAGCACTCAGAAGGAGCACTCTTAGGAGTTGGAGACTTGCCAGCTCCTTCTTTCCTGGATTGCCCTCTCTGGTACTGCACTGAAGATGCTACAATCTGCCAGCCCCTACTTCCAGCCCACCTGCTCCTTGCTCTTTCCAGGGTGCTTTAGGAGAGAAGGGAGAAAAAGTCATCAGCCTAAAAGGGGGTTAGTTTGTTTAAAGAAATAAAAGAGAGGAGAATTCATAGGTGGGGTTTAGCCCCGTTACTAGTCCTTCAATACCTGAGTCATCCTCAAATTTACACATCCTTCTTGTGTCTCATTATTTGATACCCTCTCCTATCATTCTAGTCAATTCCTTTCCCTTCTTGACTGTACATGTAAGCGTACTCATAGAGTATTGCCACC